CTTGCTTCTGTCTCTCCTGTCAGCAAATACTATGAGAAGGATGCTCTTCTGATGGACCCGGTGGACGGCCCCATCCTTGCGTCTTTGTTGGGTAAGCATTTGGCTGCGCCCTGCTTTATCTGGACTCCCCGAAGGGGGGCAGGCCACAGAGGGCAGAGGCATTCCTCCCTGGACTCTTCCAGCTCTAGCACTTACCCCCCCCTCACCCCCACCCCCAAATGTTCTCTCAGCCTTCTCCACCCTCCTGCCCCTCTACCTGCTAGCCTTAGGACCTTTGCACGTGTTTTCCCCTGCAGCGGACTCACCCTTCCCTCTGACTCCCCAACACAGGCACCGGTGGGCCCCCCATCCCCCATCCCCACCCCAGCCAAATCCACTGTTGTTAGGAGAGGCTGTCAAGTCTGTTCCTGTATACAACACAAAATACTGCCCGGCCCAGCCACACCATTGTCCTTCGGTTTGACACCATAGTTGCAGCCACTGCATGTATCCATCATGTGGAGGGTTTTCCTCTTTTTCACTAAGGGGATGATAATCCCCCATACTCTCCTGCTTCTGAGTCATCCCCACCATCTGTCAGGGAGCCTTGACCGAGTAGCAGTTCCACACGAGTTGGGCTCCTAACTGGAAGGCCAGCATTCTGAAACCAGCAATTGCTGTTTGGGAGAGAGAGGAGACCTCCCACTTCCATATGGAGTGGCAGTCCTGGAAGCCACTCCGTCCTGGAGCTGCTCCGTCCTGGAGGCTCACTCTGAGTTGGAACTGACTCGATGGCAGTGAGGTGCTTTGGAGAGAAGCGGGGCACATTCTCGTTGCACCGCCATCCTGAGGGTGTTCTCTCGTGTGAAGAATCACTGTGTCCCCATCCTCTGTCTATCTGGAAGGCGGAGTCAGATCCAAGGCCTCCAGGACACCGCGCGGAAGCTGCCCAAGCTGCCCAGCCTGTCCCCTCTCGCCATCAAGCACCTGTGGATCCGCACGGCCCTGTTTGAGAAGGTCCTGGACAAGATTGTGCACTACCTGGTGGAAAACAGCAGGTGAGGGAGGGTCTGGGTGTGCTCTGCCTGTCTGTCCTCCGCACATGAGACTGGAGAGGGTTTAAGCAAAGGTCACCCAGAACCTGGGGGATGATTCAGGTGTTTGATATCAGTGCCGAGTATTTGGATGTCGTCAGCATTGACGTGATGGCAGTGAGGTTGGTTTATTTGGTGTTTGGAAACTTAAGGAGCCCTGATGGCGCAGTGAGATAAGTGTTGGGCTGATAACTACAAGGTTGGTGGTTCAAGCCCACCAGCCACTCCAAGGGGGAAAGGCTCTCTGTTCCTGTAAAGATTTGTAGTCTCAGAAACCCCAGGAAGCAGTTCTACTCTGTCCTAGAGGATGGAGTCAGAATCCACTCGGTGTGAATTTTCAACGAGTTAGAAACTGCAACACAACAACCAAGGAGCCTGGGGACACAGTGGTTAAACAAACCCACCAGCCACTCTGAGGGAGCCCAGTAAGGTAGCTTGTTCCCATCAACACCCACAGGCTTAGGAACTCTGGGGAGCAGCTCTCCTCCGTCCTATGGCATTGCAAGGATTTAGAAGTGAAAATTCTCTGTTTTGTTTTTTAACCAACAACTCACAGCACAGCGAAACCCTTGGCGCCTTGTTGACCATATCAGAGTTCTTTTGAAGGGTTGGAGGCCAGGCTGTGTTCATTGGCGCTGCAACCAGTTTCACCTGTACCACTTATCAGAGCAGGGAGACACCTGGTCCACCAAGCACTGAGCAGTATTTTATTGCTCCAGTATATTAAGAGGGAAGGAGCCCTGGTAACTTAGCAGGTATGCATTGGGCTGCTGTCCGCAAGGCCAGCTACACTGCAGGAGAAAGACCGGTTTTTCTATCCCATCAAAAGTTAGTTTCAATACATCGGTCAGTGTAAGACATGAAAAACAGCAATAATTTATAAATTATCAAGGGTTCATGAGGGAGGGAGGGTGGGGATGAGAAGTTGATACCAAGGGCTCAAGTAGGAAGAAAATGTTTTGAAAATGATGATGGCAACAAATGTACAAATGTGTTTGACACGATGGATGGATGGATTGTGATAAGAGTTGTACGAGCCTTCAGTAAAATGATTTTTTAAAAAGTTACAGTCTCAGAATCTCACAGGGGCAGTTCTGCCCTGTCCTGTAGCCTTGATGGCAGTGGTTTGGCTTTTGTTTTTTATATAAGGAGAGGTGTGGGCATCAGAGCTGGTTAGCGACTTCTTGTCTGACATGGAAAACACACACGGAGCAGGGACTCGAGGTTCCCACTCTGCTCACGACCAACTCTCTGGGCCACAAGCTCAAAACCTCCCTGCCATCGAGTCAATGCTGGCTGTCCTACCTATAGGACAGGTAGAACAGCCTCTGTGGGTTTTTGAGATGGTAACTCTTCATGGGAGTAGAAAGCTTCATCTTTGTCCCTCGAAGGAGCTGGAGGTTTTGAACTGCCGACCTTGTGGTTAGCCACCCAATGCATAACCCACTATGCTCCTGACCATACAAAGTACGTACTTCAAAACAGCCGTGGACAAAGAGTAAAAGCTCGTGGGATTTTTTCCCACCAGTTTTTGGAAGCCAGCCTCCTCTACTATATTTCAGTATTGGTGCCTGTCATCTGTTATCTTTCAGGGACCCAGAGCCCTGGTGGCTTGGTGGGTTACATGTTGGGCTGCTAACCTTGAAGTCAGCAGTTTGAAAACACCAACCCTTATGTGAGAGAAAGATGAAGCTTTCTACTCCCATAAAGAGTTAGTCTCAGAAACCCACAGGAGCAGCTCTGCCCTATCCTGTGGCTCACTAGGAGTCAGAATTCACGCAGGAAGAGTGAGCTGCAGACAGGGCAGAGGGGGTTCAGCAAGGGACTAGGGGAGATATTGCATCCAGTTAAGCCTACTCTTAGTCACTAGGTGTCAGTCGGCCCTCTGCTGGCCCTAACCCACTTGCTTCTGTCTCTCCTGTCAGCAAATACTATGAGAAGGATGCTCTTCTGATGGACCCGGTGGACGGCCCCATCCTTGCGTCTTTGTTGGGTAAACATTTGGCTGCGCCCTGCTTTATCTGGACTCCCCGAAGTCTGCTGGGAGGGCACCTGCTGAGAATCTCTTTCCCCTCCCCATGACCTGGCCACTGTGTGTGGCTCTCAGGGCCTTGTTCTGGGTTCCCTGAGGGGTAGGGCACTGGGTGGCCCATCTGGTGGTCGATGGGAGGGTGGGCTCTCCAGCACCTAGGACTCCCCCCTCACCCGTGCGCCCTGCAGTGGGGCCCTGTGCCCTGGAGTACACCAAGATGAAGACTGCAGACCACTTCTGGACTGACCCCTCAGCCGACGAGCTGGTCCAGAGACACCGCATCCACAGCTCTCACCTGCGCCAGGACTCACCCACCAAACGGCCCGCCCTCTGCGTAAGCGGGGGCAGGCTGGGGCTCCTTGGGAGGGGTTTGGGCTGAAGCCACCAACTCGGCAAGGGGGTGGGGTGTGAGGTAAGGGCCATGAAGGTCCCTCCAGGCTCCCACCCCACTTCCAGATCCAGAAGAGGCATTCGAGTGGCAGCATGGATGACAGGCCGTCTCTCTCAGCCCGAGACTACGTGGAGTCCTTGCATCAGAACTCCCGTGCCACCCTGCTCTACGGCAAGAACAATGTTCTAGTTCAGCCGGTGAGTGTCCAGACAGGCCTGGGGTCTGCCTCCACCCTGTGGGGACGGTTCCAGCTTGCTCATCCACCATCCATTCACTCATCTACTGCTGTCTCCAGCCAACTAGCCCTCTTTCATCTTCTTCTTCTTCTTCTTTTTTTAAACCATTTTATTAGGGGCACATACAACTCTTATCACCATCCATCCATACATCAATTGTGTAAAGCACATTTGTACATTCATTGCCCTCATCATTCTCAAAACATTTGCTCTCCACTTAAGCCCCTGGCATCAGCTCCTCATTTTTCCCCTCCTCCCTGCTTCCCCCTCCCTAACTAGCCTTCTTTCAGTCTCTCCATCTATCCACTAATCCATCCATACCTCCACCCATCACTCCTCTGTCCATCTTCCCACATTTATATGTGCCCACTCACTCATCCATCCATTTGTCTGCCCAGTTACCCATCTGTCCATCCATGCACCTGCCAGTATTACCAGCCAGATAGCTCACTTGTATTCTCTACATTCTCCTGTGCATCCACTCATGCAGCATCAGCCTCTGGTCGTCCATCCCTCTGCCACTGCTTGATCCGTTTGTGAGTCAGAGTTGACTGGTGGTGACTTTGGTTGAGTGAGTATCCATCGACCTGTCCACCATCCACCCATGCATTCATCAGTCACCTCCTCACTTTGTCAGCTAGCGTGTCTCTACTTCCCGTTCATTCATCCAGGTGCCCATTGTTTTTAATTTTGCTGATGTGTAACTCATGTATCATACAATTAAGTGGTTTAAATATACTAGAAAGAGTTGTACGATCATCAGCACAATTAATTTGGGAACATTTTCTTCATTCTTGTGTCTGTCATCATGCTCTTCCCATTTCCCCCCAAGCTCTCCTGTCATAACCTGAGGGACAATCAACCCAAGAACTGTATCTCTAGATGTACCTATCCAGGATTTCATACAAAAGTATACAGAAAACCCCAATGATGACAGCAAAATAAAACACAAAAACCTCAATCCAATCGAGAGCAGAAGAGAATAGAAAGTAGAACCAATTAAAAATGGATCATAAGGGAAAACCAATAATATATGAAGTTTTAACCTAACTATATCTGCAGTGATAATGATCCACTTTCCAGTGCACGTCCTCTGAGGGCAAGACTGTCCACATCCTGATAGGTGGTCTGAGGAAAGTCAGTGAAGGTTTTATCGGAGTGTGGAGCACTGCAAGTGATTTTGGGCTTTCACTGTCATCTGTGTCCATATTGTATCCATCTATTCACCCATCTATCCACCATCTGCCCAGGTATCCATAATCCACCCTCCTACCAATCTACTCCCATTGCATCCAAGTACCCACACAATCATCCATGTGCCTGTACTTTTATTCATTCATTCAGTCATCTCTTACCACTTGTCTATCAGTGTGTTGTATTGTGGTGGCTCGTGTGTTGCTGAGATGCTGGAAGCTATGTCACTGGAAATACTGGTAAGGTCATCCAAAGGGGACAGGTGTCAATAGTGCATCCAGACTAAGGACAGACTGAAGAAGGAATAGGCTGTCCACTTCTGAGGAATTAGCCACTGAAAACCTTACGGATAGCATTGCTCCATTGTCATAGACTGAAACCCTCATGAGCAGTTGTGAGGGTGGTACAGGACCTGGCAGTGTTTCATTCTGTGAACTGACTCAACGGCACCTCGCAACAACAGCATACATCCATCTACCCACCTGCTCATAATTCACTCTCCTTTACACCGACCTACTCTGAGTGGACAGTGGATCCATCTATGATCTGAACTCCAGTTATCCATCTTTGTGCCCATATGTTTATCCATCTATTCAGACATCTATCCACCCACACCCATAAAGGTTTACAGTCTTAGAAACCCTATGTGGCACTTCTACTCTGTCCTCAAGCATCACTATGAGCTATCATTGACCACCATTTACCCACCCGTTTGTGGACTCACCCATTCAGCTATGTGTGCATTCATCCTTCCATTCGTCCATCCATCTCTGCCTTCCCATCAGCCTACCACCTAAGCATCCGCCTCCCCAGCTCCATCTATGTGTTCCAGGCACTGCGTTGAGTGCCGTTAGCTGTGTCAGCTCATTCAGACCTCACAATAGCACTTCAAGAGCAGCACTATTGTGATTGTTCACACTGAGGCCCAGACAGCGAAGGTCAGAGTTCTAGTTTAAATCCAGGCTGGCGAACACCAGAGTCTACCATCCATGATCTACTTTCCTTCTGGTCTGCAGCACCAGGCTGGGCCCTGGGAAGGGGTGGTCAGTGAGGCACATGGAACCCCCTCCCTCAAGCTACATGCCATCCACACTGGCTGTCCCCTACCTAGGACAGGCACATTTGAGACCTCTAATGGTCCTGGACAAGCACCTCTTGCCCCTGGACCTCAGGGTGTACATCAGAGTGGGTACACGATGCTCTTTGCTCAAATATAAGAGGCACTATCTTTTCATAGAACCACCCAGGAATGAAGCATGCTAATTACCTTATGTAAGGTGGTGGTGGTGGGGTGTCTGGGCCACAGGAGAAAAGTTCACAAGGCTTGTGAAAAAGTGGGATGAAAGGATAATGGAATTTTTTCTAGGCACTTTCGATCTACCTTCATAGTTGGGAATTTTATTTTACACTGTTTTGAAAGAACTCTTTGAAACATAGACGGAGCTTAAGTTTCTGTTGCCTTCGAATCAAATACCACACTAATACGTTCATATAAGATAACAAATAATGTGGGGCTTCAGAGATGGTGGGGAAATTCCATCAACATTTGGAGACTCCCTGAGTACAAATGCAGAAGTGCAGATATTCCTAACCCTGCTTTGTAGTTCAGAGGCTGACTCTTTGAGAAGAACTCTTTTCGACCACAAGTTGTTGATGCCCTTGCCCTCTCACCCCGTTTTGTTTTCTTTCTCACTAAGAGACTAACACCCAGCCCAGCCCACTGCTCTCCAGTTGATTCCGACTCATAGTGGCCCAGTCTAGGGTTTCTGAGACTGTCCAGCTTTATGAGAGCAGAGAGACTCATCTTCCTCATCTAGTGCATTTGAACTGCTGACCTTACAGTTAGCAGCCCAACACCTAACCCACAATGCCATCGGGCTGGCAACATCAGAAGTATATACTCTGGGTTTTTATGGAAAAGGTGGTTCACCTCTTTATCAGGAGGATGGGAGCTGTAGCTTGTCTAGCAAGGGTGTTTATCCTCATCTCTGGAGCCTTCTACAGTCCCAGAAAACCCTTGTTTGTTGCTTTGCAAGAATACCTGGGGAGTGGGCCCCACTGCAGTGACAACAGCACGTCTGCGTTGCAGCATCACACGGACGGACGCCTTCATGCTTGTGCCTGCGCGGTGGAAACTGAGTGGGCTTTCCTTGTTCTCTTTCAAATGCTCTGAGACAGTGGTTTCGTGAAGGGTAGCCCACCGGTGTTGATTCCTGCCCAATAATTGCTACCCAGGTTGAGCTGTTATGGTGGTCATATTCTTCCCCAAATGTAAAGATGCTCCCCATTTCTGTTCAGGGGTCCTGTGGCCATCCATCTAGTTTCCCAGCCCCCCTTTACAACCTCATCTTCATTTTCAAGACCATGGAGCCTCATGGTTTTGTTGTGAGGTGCCATCAAGGTGGCCCCAACTCACGCCGATTGTATAACCCCTTCCTGTTATGATGTAATCGGGGGCGGGGGCGGGGCAGGGGCTTGCATGTCTCTGAAAGTGTAGCTATGTCGTGATTGGAAAAAAACTCCCTCCTCCTCCCCTCTCTGCGTGGACCTGGCTGCTGAGATCATGGCCGTCCCAGAGGCTGTGGACTACTTCCTTATCTTCCACCTGCTGGCTAAGCCTGGAATGCGATGCTAGTCACTCAAAACTCACTGCCCTCACGTCTGTTCTGACTTAGAGCAAGTCTGTGGTACAAGGTAGAATTGCCTCTGGTGGTTTCTGAGAATGTAACTGTGGTAGTTATATCATCTGTTACCAATTTGAGAGGATTAAGAGTGAAGGGGTGGAGTTTAGCCCCTTGATGGGTCATCACAGCTTGATGACCTCATTTGCAGGTGCTAAGGAGATAAATAGCTCATTGGAAGCAGGACACAGGCTGACTCCCTGGGAGACATTACGGCTGACAAGACACATGGAGCTATGCTAGTGCCCTGAGCTGGAGGAACCATGTGGAGACCCCTGCCAGCACTGAGATGCTTACAATGCCACTGGATCCACAAGACTTCCCACCCACTGGCCTGTGATCTTCCTGCATTGGGTGTCATTGCATTTGTGTCATGAGTCGGAAGAGGACTTTAGAGACTGGTATCAGACATATGAGCTAATATCAGACTTCTGGACTTGATGTGGAGTGGGCTAGGAGGTTTTCTTAATGTGAAATTACTCTTTATATAAAGCTCTTTCTTATACACACACACACACACACACACACAAAAGGCGGTCCCAACTCATAGCAGCCTGATGCACAACAAAATGCAACAAGTCGTGTCCTGTGCCACCCTCACAAGTGTCCTTATGTTTGAGCTCGTTGTTGCAGCCCTGTATCCATCCATTTTGCCCAGAACCTTCCTCTTTTTCACTTTACCAAGCAAGTCATCCTTCTCCAAGGACCGATCTCTCCTGAAAACATGTCCAAAGTACATGAGACAGAGTCTCGCCAGCTTTGCTTCGGAGGAGCGTTCTGGCTGTACTTCTTCCAAGACAGATTCGCTTGTTGTTTTGGCATCCACAGTGCTCTGAATATTCTTCTCCAGCACCATCGTTCGAATGCCTCGATTCTTCTTCGGTCTATTGAGTCTCATAGGGATGATTTTGTATAGATCGATAGATAGGGCACAGTGGCCCTGGGTAATATTGTTTTGTAAGCCAATCTGTTACTTAGCTGCAAGGTGACCCTCTGGGGTCTGCTTCAGTTCACAATTTTAAGAGTATCTCAGGGAAAGGGTCTGGGGCAGCACTCCAGTCTCAACTGGCCTAGTAAATTTGGATCTTTTAAGAAGTTGAAATTCGGTTCTACATTTGATCCCATCCTTTTCGGGATCCACCTGATGTGACCTGGATCAGAACAGTCAGCATGGATGGTCAGGCACCTTTTAGTGCTTCTGGTCTCAGAGTCAGTGAGGCCACGGCTCCTCTAAATGCTTCGTCCTGTAGATTAGTTTCTCAGAAGCTTCGTCTTCTTTCTCTTTAGCTCAAGAGGACTAGAAACCAATAGTTGTATCTTTGGTGGCCACTCACAACTTTTTAAGACTTCAGACATGATTCTCTCCAAATTAAGATGTAGGATATAAACTTTATGAACGATACAAGGCGGGGCTTCAAACGTTTTGGGGGAAATTCCATGATCCTTTAATCCCACTTTTCCTCAAGCCTGTTGAAGGTCCCTTGCGTGTACACATGGGTCCCCACATTTGCATACCTATCCATATCTGAGGCTGCACTTATAGATACATACCACTGACAGGCTTCTTCATAGATCTTATTACCCAGACTTTCTGGGCACCCACTTTCCCGGTCAAAGCAGATTCACAGTTTAACCCTCCTAAGACACTTTAAGCAACATGGAACTCTGAAAGGGCCAACCGTGTGAACACCTTGACTGGGTTTGTACAGGATCAGACAGGGACACCCCAAGGTGAGAGGCTGCCAATGATAAGCTGTATCCTGGGGTATATTCAAGCCTGACCCCGACACTGTGCATCTTAGAATTTATGGAGCACCACTCTGGTGTAACCAGAGGTGTGTGAGTGTAACCAGGTGTGTGAGAAGTGAGCTTGGTACACAGTAGGTGTTTAATAAGTGCTGCTCTGTTGACTGCACATGCTGTGACCTTCCTTCCTTCTCTCTTGGTGGAGGGGCTCCTCAGGTTAGCTACCTCCTCCATGGTGAAGCTTGGGGAGATGGGGCTCGCCACTCACCACTGCCACCTTCTGGAGCTAAAACCAAACCACGGTAGTGCAACAGGCCGGGCGAGGACGACGGTGGGGTATTTGGGGAAGAGGTTTCCGGGTACTATCTGAGGGATGGGATAGAGAGCTCAGATTTCTCCCTTAAGACTGGCCAGCATGATGCCACATGAACACCTTCTGTCTTGGAAAGGGGACAAAGAACTCCCCCTGACTCTAGAGCAGGGGGCTCATGCTTTTCCAGCATGCGAGCTACTTATAAAATGATCAAGTTAAAATGATCTACCAACTACAAAAATGCAAAGCATGTATTCTTTAATTTATTTATTACATTTCTTCATAAATGCATTGAGAATTCCTTATATGTACAATGTATGTTTATGTACCTTGCATAACCGCATGAGTCCGTATTATACAACACAACATAATTAACTATGTACATTTTTGGTCATTACCTGAGTTTACTCTGATGACTTGCACTGAATGGAATGAGCCAGGGATGCATAGTGCGGACAGTAGCTGCTGACAGCCAAACTCAAGCACACTTCCAAATGATCATCAGTCATGGTGGAACAGGACTTGGACTTAATGATTTTTATGTGGGAAAAGGCTGACTCACATAAATAAGTAGAGCCGAATAATGCAGTCAAGGAGGTAGCACATTTTCTCATGTTTGGGTACTTTCCCTCTGCGAGTAAGTTCCAGAACTGTTCCTGCGCTCTGGACTTCAGCTGAATGTCGGCTTGTACTGTCAGAATCTCCCATTCCTATGAAAATGATACGTTTTTGTCTTTTTTTTTTTCCTTTCACTGACTTGGCTTTCCCCTTGCAGTCAGCCTCATTTCGTCTCTTTTGTGAGATGGAGGAAGATTTTGTGGATTGGTGACGGAGATATGGGATAATGTTGGACTTGTGAGCTTGGGCAGCTGTGGGTAGGGATGTTTTCTTGGTGTGCATTTTACATTTATATAAAACTCTCTTATACACGAGTTTCTGTGGATTTGTTTCTCCAAAGTTCCCAGACTAACCCATTCATGTAGATGTGTGAACCCCCATTCAGTGGTTTCTTTAGGATTTTTACTTCCTTGAGCTCCACATTTTTCTCTACCCACAACATTGCCAGGTGACGATACTTGACTTTCGTTAAAACACTTTATCGGGAAAGGTCAGGTGTTTCACCACAACTTTTCCAGTAGGAATACCTTCTACGTCAGTTCAATTGTGCGTCAAGCGGTTTCACATATCTTAGCTCCAAACTTATCTCCAGGAGATTCCTGAATATAAAGGAAGAGAGAATCCTTCTGGGGCTTAGCCTGCCTCTACTCAATGGGGCCTCAAACACTTTCACTTATCTCAGCTCAAACCCTAACTCCTGGGCTTGCTTCGGTGTGAAGGAAAAGAGTAAATCCTGAATTTCCTGGGCTGCCCTTGTGTGTTGCCTCACTCAAGAGATCCGTTTGTCATTTCAAGAGGGCCCCCAGCACTTCCTTTTTCTATGGTCAACAAGCATTACCATTTCCCATAATCATTAGGATATGGGGAACCTTGAATCCTGCAAGTTCCTGTGTGTCCTAATTGCATTAAACAATGGAGCTTTATCGTTTTTGTCTTCTTATGTGGTCCAGCTCCCCCACTCGTTTTAATATCCTTTCTTACGTTTAAGAGAAAAAAACCAATGTCTAAAAATTGGCGATAACTTAGCTTGTCAGTTGTGCTGCACTTAGCGCGTTGTTTGACACCTAAGATTGCATCTGCATATCAGTTAAGTGATGGGACTGATGACAGGCTTATGTCTGTTTTTTAATGCCCTGCGATCTACCCACACTACATTTGCAATCGACTAGTAGATCGAGGTTGACGTATTGAGCACCCCTGCTCTAGAGAAAGCCTTCCCCTGTGGCAGGACCTTGTGGCCTTGGGATTGGGGGTGGGGGGTATGGCTCTGAAAGTGTTGGGGGGCGGGTAGGGCAACCTTCACAGTTGCACCCTGGTACCTTCTCCTGGACTTCCATCTGCAGAAAGCTCTAGCTTTGCATGGCCACCTGCAAGAAGATCAGAGGGATGCCCCGCTGAAGATGGCCGTGTCCTTGAAGGGACCCACCCAAGTGCTTGGTTCAGGCTAAATGTCCTAGAACCCAATGGGGCAGGACCAACATCTGCCTTGAATTCGGCACCATGGTCAGAGTTGAGTTGTCCCTCTTTCTCCACAGAGGGATGACATGGAGGCTGTGCCGGGGTACCTGTCCCTGCACCAGACAGCGGATACTATGACCTTGAAGTGGACACCCAACCAGCTGATGAATGGGTCTGTGGGGGACCTGGACTATGAAAAGAGGTAAAGTACTGGTCCTTTGTATGTCCCTTAGACACTGCCCCACCCCCACTTTCCTTGGTACCAGGGACCATCCCTCCTTGGGGTGAGGGAGCTAGTGCCCTGCCCCTGCCTATTATGATTCCTGGCTGCTATGGCCACTTGGCCCATGAGCAAGGCAAAGGCTGAGCAGGAGCCAGAACCTGCTGGAAGAATCTGAGGGCACGGAAAGTTAGTCCTGCTGAAAACACCACCCAGAGAGAGAAAGCTGGACAAAGACTTTATAAACTTCCCAGGGACGATACTCTTCAGTCCTCTGTCCCCACCCCACTTCCAGTCACCCAATAAAAGCAGGGCTGAGTCACTTGTGAAATTCCACGATGCATCACACCCACCAAGGCTTCCAAGTCCTGCTTGGCAGGAAAAATAACTCTCCCAGCACATCACTGATCTACGGGGTCCTGGGTGACAAACAGCATTGTCCTTCTGGCCCAGTCAAGGGCATAGTAGGTTACAAGTTGGGCTTCTAACCTCAAGATCAGCAAGCAGTTTGAACCCATCAGTGGCACCGAGGGAGGAAGATGAGGTCTTAAGCTCCTGTGAAGAGTGACCGCCTCAGCAGTCCACAGGGGCAGGTCTGCTCCGTCCTCTGCAGTCACCGTGAGTCAGAATCGACTCAGCAGCAGTGAGGGGGGTTGCTTTTGGTTGTCTAAGCCTAACACAATAGGAATCTTACTGTGCAACAGCTAAGGCAACAGTTCTGCTGATGGAAAAGTTGGTGCTATGTAATAAAAGCCTGGTGATCTCCTGTAGAAAAAATCCACTCTCTGAGCTACCTTGAGTTGGAATCCCCACAGTGGGTCCACTGGTTTGGGAAAACCACGCAGCAGAAGAATGGCTGTCTCCATCATTCTTCTTTGGGGGATCTTGGCAACGGGCAGGAGAACTCCTTGTTTCTGCTTCTGTGAGCCTGGGTCTCATTTCAGTTTGACTTGGGTGTTTTCCTGCTTCTGTGTTTGTTTAAAACAGGGATCCTCAAGCTTTTAAAACAGGGGACCAGTTCACTGTCCCTCAGACCCGTTGGAGGGCCGGACTATAGTTTAAAAAAACACTATGAACAAATTCCTATGCACACTGAACATATTTTATTTTGGATTGAAAAAACAAACAGAGCAAAAACTCCCAGTGGGCTGGATACATGTCCTCGGCGGGGCCGCAGTTTGAGGACACCTGGTTTAAAACAATGGTGGTTAGTATACATTAGAAAGAGTTGTTTGCCAGGTTGTATTGTCACAAACTGTTGGCTGCCTCACCACTTCTCATGTGAAAGAATCAATGATACCCATCACGACTGTCCATTTCTAGATTCTTTCCTCTTCCTTGAAAGAAGCTGGGTGTCCCCTAAGCCATGAGGGTCCCTCTTACCCTCCCTCATCCTCAGCCCTGCTTACCACGCTGAAACCACCTTGGTTTCTGTGCACTTGCTGTCTTAGATAGTTTGCTTAAGTAGAATGATACGCTATCTGCCCCTTTGTGATTATTCCACTCTATGGGTGCTAGTTTTCTAAAAACCAAAACCAAAGCCTTGTGTTGCAATAATTCAACCCAAAGATAGACAGAGACAGGTGCCTGCTGTCCATCCCTCACAGCCCTCGCTTACCCCAGTCCTTCTCTTCTCCACCCTCTGAAGCAGAACACGGGCATCACAGCACCTCGCCTGAGACCCTGTTAAAAAGGCAGCTCGAAAACAGAAAGACTCTTCTTAGGAAATCTAAGCAGAATGCCATCACTGTGCTTGGTTTTGCTGTTGTATGAGGAATTGTTTGCCTCAGTATGCGAATGCCAGGCCCCACCAAGTTACACTTGGGAGACTTGTGAAGTCAAGGCCGCTGAGTGACTCTTTAACTGCTGCCCCGGAGTTAGAGTCTCGGTTCATTGAGACTGTTAGATGCTGGTGACAGAAAGCCAGACACAAGCTGGCTTAAACACTGGTTCACATGAAATGGACAAACAAGCAAGCAAGCAGAGGGGCTGGCTTTGGGTACAGCTGGATCCAGGGACTCTGATGATGTCTATCACGAAGACCGGAACTCTTTCTCTCTTTTGGCTCTGCTTTCCTCCCTGTGGATTCCTTTTTTTTTTTTTTTTGCCATGGCCCTCAATGTCCATATTCCTGTCACCCTGGCCATTACGGTCTTAGCTGGGAAAAACTCTTTCCCAGTCACTGTCACACCAGCCCAGGAGATAAATCTCAGTGGTTCTGCCTGAGACCGTCCCTGCTCCAGTCGCTGTGGTTCAGGCAGTAGAATATGCTGATTGGCTCGACCTGAGTCAGATGCTCTGGGACGGTGAGTGGAGTGTAGATGGCAGAGGCTCACCTCCAACACATGGGTGGAGAATGGGACCCTCTAGGAAAATTGGGGTGGGGGTGCCAGAGGAAGTGGGGAGAAGGTCTGGGACCCAGATGCTGGGGTGGTGGGCCCTGGTGAGCTGCTTGGATGAAGAGAATGGAGAAGCTTATGGATTCTGGTCTTCTGGCCTCCTGGACCCCTCCCCCTGACGGGTGGGCAGGTACACTGCATCCTGCTCACCGCACACGTCCTCCTTTGCCAGCGTCTACTGGGACTACGCCATGACCATCCACTTGGAGGAGATTGTCTATCTCCACTGCCACCAGCAAGGTAGGGACTAGGGGTGAGTCAGGGGCCGGGCTGGGGGCTTCTACCTAGACCCCTTGGCTGTCTACCACCTCATCATTTTGTCGTGTTATGAGACCCTGTGGAAGGTGTCCTTTGGTCCCCATGAGACCTTAAGCATCAGACTTCACCTTTCTGTGCCTCAGTTTACCCATCTGTAAAGTGGGGGTCCTAGCAGCAGCCAGTCACAGGGTCATAGTGAGGATTGGATGCTGTGAGCAAGGCTGTAGCTGGTGACATTGATGGAGCAAGCCCAAGGGGCCCAGGATGATATTGTCACAGCAGTGGTGGCTCGGTGGTCTGCAGTATGAAATTAAAAGTAACACGGGGGAGGAGATAGGGGCCAGCCCCCACCGTTAATCACGGGTTCAGTAATACTACTTCTGGGTTCAGTAATGCACAATTGTACGGTTGAGATATATAAATATTATATTAAAGTCATCGAGAGCATGAGAGATAATACAATAATACAGTCAGACATATTACATGGTAACATTGCTCACTTCCGCCCCGCTTGGTGGTCCTCGTGGGGGAAACCTGGCTGCCAGAGCAGGAGCCACCTCTTGGGAGCAGCCCTCCCATCCATCGCCCTCATGGGAGCAGCCCTCATGGGAAGCAGCCCTCCTTCCTCAGCCACCCTCGGCCAGCCACCCTCCCGAGAACCAGGGAGCCTCCTTATTTATTGCTAACCACGCATCATATTACTTTAGGGGGATACATCACAGCATCATGCATCACAGAGAGGGGCAATACAATTCACAACAACCTGCGTCATAGGGAGGGATTGCAACATAGGCAATACAAGCAATAGGAGGGGGATGACCTAGTCATCTTAGAGTGGTCCCGGGCTTGCCTTTGGGCACTGCTTCAAGGTAACAATGTCAGAAGGGAATGGGCCCTATTTGTTGTGGGATAAACAGTGGTGTCTGCTTGATCTAGACAGCTGATACCTCTCAGTGAGAATGACTCCCAATCCACTCTTGATGTTTGATGTTAGGGAGAATAACCTCTGACCTACTTTCGCTGCCTAGTGAACAATTATTCTCAAGCTAAGTCTGGCATATATTTTGGGGAGACAACTTAAGAGAAATCCTCACAGTGGTCAGTCTGTGGTAGAAGTAAGGAAGAAACTTGATTTGCACACATAGCCGATCCATGCCAGATTTGAACTCAGAGCTTTGTGATGCCATGGCTATTGCTCTAGAGATCTGGACTCCATGGTGGGTGCCCTTCTTAAAGCCTGAGAAGATGTGAGGGCCATCTTGCTGTAGAAAGTACAGACTGTGATTTCCCCAAGGAGCCCTGGTGGTACTGTGTGTCAGGTGTTGGCCAACTAACCACATGGGCGGTGGTTCAAACCCATCAGCCTCTCCCAGGGAGAAAGTTGAGGCTGTCAGCTCGCATAAAGATTTTCAAACTTGGCAGTGGTATTTTTCTTTGAGTGCTTCACCAAAGCACAGCATAGAAGCCCTAGTGGAGAAGTGGGCTACAGGTTGGGCTGCTAACCACAGGTCAGCAGTTTGAAACCATCACATGCTCCGCAGGAAAAAGATGAGGCGCCCTGCTCTCGTAGAGATTTCCAGTCTCAGAAACTCCCCGGGGCAGCTCTATTCTGTCCTGTAGGATCACTAGGAGTCAGAATCGACTTGATGGCAGGGAGTTTGGTTCTGAAGGCCCACAGCACAGGAATTAAGAAAGATCACATCCTTTGTAACCAACAGATGAGTTCAGACCCTGGCCCTGCCATGTACACACTGTGTGACCTGGGGAAAGTGGCTTAACCTCTCTGAGCCTCTGGTTCATTATTTGTAACATAGACAACAATTGAGAGGACTCATAGGATGGCTTTTAACCTTTGTTAACCAATGTTAGCAATTGGCAGTTCAAACCCACCAGCTGCTCCTTGGAAGAAAGATGAGGCTTTCTGCTTCTGTCAAGACTGACAGCCTCGGAAGCCCACCCGACAGGCTGTTCTACTCTGTCCTAAGAGGCCAGCTGTGGGTGGGATAGCGCTGTGAGCATGCACTGCTCTGGGCAGACAGGAAGTGCCCAGTCCAGGCTCGATGGTGTCCCGCTTGCCCTGAGGAGATCCAGGTGTGGAAGCTCCCCCAGAAAGCTAGGCCAGGTCAATTTGTAGGTGGCAACAGAAGGTCCTTGAAGTGGGGTAGAGGTGTGGCGACACCTTTTTCTTCTCATGTTCCTTGCTTAGGGAGTTTGTCCTATTTTTCTCTATCTTGGCCTCTGGTTCCTCAGTCCAAGCTGGCTGCTGGGTGGGTGGGAGCAGGGTTCGCTGGGTCTGCGGCCCTGGGGGATAGGATTGCTGGAAGGGCCCAAGTCCCAGGCAGCCTACTGACTCCTTGCTGCTCTTCTCCGGCTGTGGCGGCAGTGGACAGCGGCGGGACAGTGGTGTTGGTCAGCCAGGATGGGGTCCAGCGGCCGCCATTCCGCTTCCCCAGGGGCGGGCACCTCCTGCAGTTCCTCTCATGTCTGGAGAACGGGCTGCTCCCCCATGGGCAGCTGGACCCCCCACTCTGGTCCCAGCGGGGGAAGGTGAGTGTTCTGGGGGGTATACCTGTGCTTACCCGGGAGGGTGGGGTCATGTGCACCCTCCTGGGACCCGTGGGCTGTGCTAAGTGAGGGGAGGGCAGGCTTGTCCCTAGCTCTCTGCTCCCTCAGGGAAAAGTCTTCCCCAAACTGCGCAAGCGAGGCCCCCAGGGCTCGGCCGAGTCCACATCATCGTCAGACAAGGAGGATGACGAGGCCACGGACTACGTGTTCAGGATCATCTATCCCGGCATGCAGTCTGAGTTCGGTAAGCTTCCCTGAGTGTGTGTCCCCCTCCCCCTGCCCTTCCCTGGCCTCTGAGACCTGCCTCTTAGTGATTCTGGGGCCAGCAGGAGGGGGGGAGGAGGGTGAAGGGGGGCCGTTCTTATCTTGAGGGTCTCAGTTTCTTCCTAAATGAGAATAAGAACTACCCTCTACTTAGCAACTAGGAGTCCTGGTGGTATAGTGGTTACCCTGTGGTTAGCAGTTTGAAGCCATCAGTTGCTCTGCAGGAACCCACAGGCTCAGTTCTGCCCCACCCTATGGAGCCACTCGGCTTCAGAATTGACTGGATGGCAGTGAGTTGAGTTTGATGTAATGAATGAAGGAGCCCTGGTGGAGAAATTGGGTAAGCAGTGGGCTGCTGAACATAAGGTCAGTGGTTCAAGCCCACCAGTCATTCCTTGGAAGAAAGATGAGGCTGTCTGCTCCTGTTTCCAATAGTCTTGGGCACCCTAGGGAGCAGTTCTTCCCTGACCTGTTGGGTCACTGTGAGTCAGAATCAGCTCATTGGCACAGGTTTGGCTTGTTCAACCTACACCAGAAGGGGGCTGGTGGCACTGTGGATCTGTATACAGTTGTTATGAGTAGGAAGTGATTGGATAGCAGTGGGGCCGCTCACTTTTGGGGAGCCGGGTGATTTTCCTCTCACTGCCACTGAGTCGATTCCAACTCACAGTGACCCAGTAGAACAGGGAGAACCGCTCCTGTGGGTTCCGAGACTGCATCTCTTTATGGGAGTAGGGAGCCTCCTCTTTCTCCCACAGAGCAGCTGGATTGAACTACTGACCTTGTGGTTAGAAGTCCAGTGTGTAACTGGGGTTCCTTCTGAACCTGTTTCCTCTCCCATAAAAGAAATGAACCTCTCACAGGACTATTTGAATGATAAGGCAGTCCCCTGTCTACCCCAGCACACAATAAAAAAAGAACAACTCACTGCCATCGAGTTGATGCCAACTCATAGAGACCCTATAAAATAGAGCAGAACTGTCTCTGTGGGTTTCCGAGACTAATTTTTCACGGGAGTAAAGATCCTCATCTTTCTCCCACAGGGCAATCAGTGGTTTCAAACTGCTGACTTGGTGGGTCGCAATCCAGTTCTTATGCCACCAGGGCTTCTTAACCCAGTACCCAGGACATAATAAAAGCCCACTGCCGTGAGGTCTGTTCAGACTCTTAGTGCCCCTACAGGACAGAGTCGGACTGACCACTAGGGTTTCCGAGACGAGGCAGTCACATCTTTCTCCTAAGGTGGGTTTGAACCACTGACCTTACAGTTAGCAGTCTATACTTGGCTCATTGCCAAGTATAGTAATTCATTCTTTAGGGTCCCGCCACCCAACCCAGACCTGGTGTCTCACCAGTTCTTTTTGTTTTGTGTCTCAAGTTGCTCCCGACACCTTGGGCAACCCTTCCCCTCTCTACAAGGGCCCTGCCTGGACCGCGATTCCTGTGGGCCAGTCTCTGCTGGTGGTGCACAGGGGGAGTCGGTGGGCACGAGCCAGATGGGACACCACCCTCCCAACACCGGGTCTGAAGGAGCAGCCCCCCAGTAATGTCTGGGCTCCCCCCACACACCCATGGGCTGTGTGCCGACCACCTCCACCACGTTGTCATTTGAGCCTTGGTCCCAGGGAAGTGGGTGCAGGGGAAAGACCAATGCCTGGAGGGTTGTGTCCCTTTGGTAGAAAGCGATTGATTAATATTGTCTGCACTACGGAGCTGGTGGAAGAGCATGTGCTACCCCTAGACTAAGTTGATCAGTGCTTCCCTGAAATAGGTTAAGATCTGAACCTATTTTTCTAGAACAGTCCACAAGAGACTTAATGTTTTGTTTTTCAAAGAAATCATTTTATTCGGGCTCTTACAGTTCTTCTAACAATCCATACATCAATTGTATCAAGCACATTTGTACATATGTTGCCATAATCATTTCCAAAACATTTTCTTTCTACTTGAACCCTTGGTATCAGCTCCTCCTTTTTTCCCTCCCTCCATCGTCATCCCATCCTTGTGAACCTTTGATAAATTATTATTTTCATATCTTATACCATCCGCTGTCTCTCTTCACCCACGTTTCTGTTGTTCGTCCCCATGGGAGGGAGTGGTTGTACATCGATCATTGCAATTGGTTCCCCTATCTCCCCCTTCTTCCGCCACCTTCCCCCTACCCTCATGGTGTCACTTCTCTCATTATTAGTCCCCTTAGGTGTTTATCTGTGCTGGCTTCTGTGTGTCAAGAGCTCTTATCTGTACCAGTGCTCTGGTCTAGCCAGATTTGTAAGATAGAACTGGGGTCATGATAGTGGAGGGGAGGAAGCATTAAAGAACGAGAGAAATGTGTGTTTTGTCAGAGTTATACTCCACCCTGGCTGGCTTGTCTCTTCCTTGTGACCCTTCTGTGAGTGGATGTCCAATTGTTGGCATCAAAATGGTTGTTTGGTTTGGATCTCTGGTGCCTGATACCTGATCCCGTGGACACCTTGTGATCACATGGGTTGGTGTGCTTCTTCCTTAATGGTCTTTCTTGGTGGACTCAGGTGAAGTCAGATCCAGAACTCCCCTGCCCTTGCAGCCTGAGAGAAGATGTAGATGGCTTTCAGAAGCATGGTACATGGGGCAAATGCCCTCCCCTGTGCATTCCTACAGTAAGAGTTGGCCAACCTCATACTAGACAGCCCACAAGTCTACAGCGCCTCTTACACAGTTATTGTTAGATGCCATCGAGTCAGCCCAACTCATGGCGACCCCGTGTACACCAGAAGGACACGCTGCCCGGTCCTGTGCCATCCTCACAGTCACTCTTAGGTTGGAGCCCTTGTTGCAGCCACTGTGCCGTCCTATCTCACGGAGGTCTTCCTCTTTTCCACTGCCCCTCTACTCTACCAGCAGGTGTCCTTCTCCAGGGACTAGCCCCTTCCTGTCACGTGTCTGATGCGCATGAGATGAACTATTTTCACTTTAAGGGACTGAAAAGAGATCGCAAAGAAAGTCCTGGTAATCTTCTCCAGTGAAACTGAGAGTTGAGAGACTTGTGTGGACAGTTCTGGGGTCTCTATGGGGTGGAATTGCCTTGATGGCCCCCGACAACATAAATGTGTGTGTGTGTGTGTGTAAGTATGTATGTGTCTATGTATGTATATACAAGGGAGGCAGGCATCAAAAAAGCTCATGGAAAAATTGGAATTGAAAGATGATGGGATTTTTCCATGAATGTTTTGTTTTCTTATTCTCTTTTCTTTGTTCCTTTTTAAAATACTTTCACCCTCCGCTGTATGAGCCCTACTGACCTGACTTATCCTGCATGCCCAGTCGCTGGGCATGGAAACAAATCTTTTTTTGGGAGAACCAACCTTTTTGCTTGTTTGAAACCAACTTGTCTGTCACAAAAAAATGTAAGTCCGTTTCCATTTGCTTCCTCCTCTGAGAGCCCTGAGGAGCAGCGCTTGCATCTGATGGGTAAGGGCTCTACAGGG